AGTTATAGAGTTTTTATAAATATTAACGTGGACTCTGCATCGTTATGTAGAATTGATATATCTCATCGTAATCGACTACTTTTGACGCACATGGGAAAAAGATAATCTTGATTCAACATCTAATGACAGTTATTAATATAAAATTCTACATAATAATTGTTCATTAATTCTGTTTCAATAATCCACGTATTGCGCAGTTGATTTTATATTCATCTATCGCGAACAAAACCACAATGACGTTATTAATTGTTATGACGCGTAGAAGCATTACATTTTTCTCAGATTCTGAACTTTTGTATCTTATTATTCATTTGATTCATTTTTTATTTAAGTGTCCGTGAAGAAATTAAAATATATAATAAATCGACGAAATTTCTATTATAAAAACATGTGGAACAAGCCAATTAAGAAATGTTTAGTTAATCTTGATATAATATAATATAATATTAAAGAGATTCTTTGACATTAATTATTTTTATTGCAATTTTTTGTGCTTTTTCAAAAAATATTTTTTGAAGATTGTATATTACAAAATTATTTAAAAAATCACAGAAAAAAATATTGGAAAATATTATTAACAATACATGGATATCTTTGTCTATGAAAATGCATCTTAATCTATATGCAAATCTTTTGATTAGTAAACTATTTGAATTAAATATACATTTAAACGTAAATGTTATAAAAAAATTGATATTGCTATCGATAATTGTATAATATTTCCATCCATAATTTATTTTTTCTATTGATAAGTACTATTTTCTATTAAAATGTTAAGTGTCATATTTATAAGCAGATAAATTGCAATGACGCGGAATATGCTTTGAATTATGAAAAATTCTATTTTTATTGACTTTAATGGACAACGATTTTTCATTTGTTGACAATATTAATTAGAAATTTTTTTAATAGTTAAAATAAAAGCAGATACGATAGTTATGATCATACACATCAACAATTGAATCTATGAAAGATTAAAAATAAATTGTTGTTATCTACTATCTATATGCTCACTGAAATGACATTTATAGTGCGATTAATAAAAATGTAAAGAAAATAAAAATATCAAGAAGAATATTAATAAAACATAATAAAAAATTAATAATTCTTATTAAACAAGTTAATTAAACAGGAAGGAATTATGTGATTTGTGAGAAATTGAATTGTAATAAACATAACTAATTTTACAAACAAAAATAAATTAATTGAATAATTTAATTAAAAATTAATAAAAAAATCAATTCTAACGTTATATTTTAAAATGATTTGTTTTCATGCAATTTAATTAGATAAAAATGCGGTTTTGATAATATTCTGATTATTATGTAAAATATATCAATTATTTATATCTTTTGACAGATCTGATAAACATCTTATAAAATCGCGCCTTAATAGATTTGAATTATTTATAGGTTTGTGTAATACAATTGCATGTTTTTGAAAATATGTTTTTGATTAATAATTGCAAATGATACAATCTTTGAGAAAAATTTTGGCAGATGATTTGATGGTTCGAAAATAACAACGACAAATTACATATTTAAATTTATGGCAACGATTATGGCACACTAGTTATATTTTTAAGTAAAATTTATGAGTTAAGGCCACCTCCAGTGAATCGGGAGCAGCCCGTGGTACGTTACAAGTATTGATTCTATAATGAAATTACGTTTTGGCCGTGTCGGCAATAAGACCGGTGGTAGATCTGCTGTGTCCGCTGTAGCAATGTTCTGTAATCCTTTTCTCACATACCACACTTCCTGTAGACACCATTGTCTAATTGCTTCTAAGATGTCCCTCATCTCCATTGCAATTAAACCTGAAAAAAAAATAATACAAATTTTTCACCTGTTACTTAATATTTTTTAAATATATAAATTTAATACATATAAATTTTTTGATGTTTAAAATATTACAAAAATTATACAAAAATTCGGGGTTTAAAAAA